TGGAGGCCAGGCTAGGTGCGTGGGCCGGCGAGGGCAGAGCTGGGGGCGCGGCGCTGGGGGCGCTGTCCTTCCTGTGGCCGGCGGGCGGCGCTGCGGCCACTGGTGGCCTGGGCTACCGGGCGGCGCATGGCGTCCTGCTGCAGGCGCTGGATGAGATGCTGGCAGACGCCCAAGCGGTGCTGGCATTCCCGTCCTCTGCCCAGTAAGGTATGGATGGGGACCGGGGTTTCCGTGGGTTCCCTCCTGTGCCGGGGGCTGCTGGTTCCACTCAGGTTGAGGACTTGAATCCCTGGTAGAGGGAAGGGGCTTGAAGGTCCAGGCCCCCCGGGTGGGATGTCTAGCCTCCAGGGATAAAGGAGCCCTGACAGCCACCTGGGTGCTTGAAGAGCAAGCCCTTCTGACTTATGAATATTGGGTGGGCAGGACTCCTGGATTCTCTGGGGGCTGGGAACCTAACACTTCGTGCCCTGCCACCCAACTTGGTCTCCAAGGGAATAGAAACTGGACATGGTCGTGTGACCCTCAGCTGGGGGAAGGGAACCTGGGAACCCCAGGAAGCTGGAGCCGTTGGAAACCCCAAAGGGGCGCAGGGCATGGGTTTCCTGGGCAGCAGAAGCCAGCACATAGACTCCCCCTCTGCTTGGAGGGCTCTGGGATTTCAGCCTTCCCTGGCAGTGGGGAGGGGCACAGGCTGGCCTCTCAAGAAGACTGGACCTTGGTTCTGGATTCCTGGGGCCGGGGGCGGGGTGGGGGGAGGAACAAAGGGAATCTTGGGAGAGAGCTTGGGTAGAATGACCAAGGATTCCTTTCTTAGCTATTAGGGGGAGGGGGAAAGAGGGCTACAGGGTGGGCTCTGGGTAGTAGCAGCCTGTGACCAGGAGCGGTGCTTAGTGGTGCAGAACGGCAGGAGCCCTGGCCTCACAGCCGTCTTCCAGCGGCCTCCGGTGAGTTTGTCTGGGAGCAGGTTTGACTCTTCGGTGAGTTTAAGGGGAATGTGTTTGACTGTCCCCATGTCACAGGGGCTGAGTGACACTGCTCTCCTTCAGGGAGCCCATTCGTTCTCCCTTCTTTGGAGGTTTCTGTCTCTTTGGGGAGTTGAGCTCCTCCGTCCCTGAGCCCTAAAACCCTTTCGGGTCTTCGTGTTCGGCTGGCCTGTCATTTCTGAAAAGCAGCTACACTGCTGTCCCCGTTCAGACTTTCTGTGGGACTCCTGGAAGGACCAGGCAAGCGCTCCAGACTGGGAGAGAGTGGCCCCCGCCCCCCCTCCAGGAAGGGTGAAGTGAAGAAGCCACCGTGCCTAGGTTTCCAGCTGCTAGCTCCAGGTTCCCGGATTCTCAGATGTCCAGAAGAGAAAGGGAGTCAGTCAGCCTGGGTCTAGGACCACCCCTTGTGACAGGAAGAGAGGAGGCCGCAGGCCCAACGCCACACAGTCAGGTCCTGCCCATCCTCAGGCCCCGTGTGCGCCAGCCCCTACCAGCATGGCAGCTCCACCTTCTGATGCTTGAGTGCCCACCTTGGGGGCGCTTGGCTGTTCTCTCTGCTTGTGGCGCTCTGCTCTCAGACTGCCCTCTGGCAGTCAGGCATCCTCTCCACTGCCCCCCTCAGAGAAGCCCTCCCTCCCTGCCTCCCCTCACAGAAGCATGTCCCACCTTCCCACGCGGTTGCCATCAAGCCACTGCAGCTGCGGGTGACCTCAGTGTGCTGGAGTTTCCCATGACAGATTATGGGAGGAGGTTCCCCAGGGGGCGTCGCTTCTGGGGGACCACTGGGTGGGCTCGTGCCTTCAGCTTTGCTGTAAGGAGTTGAGTGCTGACCATCTGTGCCACCCAGGGACCCCCATTCCTGGGGTCTCCTCCGGGTGGTTTTCCTTAGCGCAATCGTGATCTTTATTTACCAGTGCAATGCCTGTCTCACTCTCAGCTGTATCCACCCCCCTCAAGCACCTGGAACAGCGCCTGGCAGACAGTAAGTGCCTAGTGTTTCAGAATTGGGTCCCCTGATCAGTGGCATCCAGGGAAGACATCCGCCAGCCAGTTACTGCCCTCCATACCCTTTCAACTGGGAGAGAATGCTGGCCGTGTCTCCTGCTGGCATCCGGCGCACCACGTGGCCTGTCCCTCCTCAGTCTGGCCGCGAAGCTCCTCCACCAAGCTTGGCAACCACCTGAAGGAGCAAGGGGCGGCACCACCCCCCAGGAGGAATTCAAGCCACCCCTGTCTGCCCTTGGGCCTTATCCTGCAGCCACAAATATGACATAAAAGAAGGCCGGTGGAATGAATGCTTCTTAGCTTCGACTTAACCCAGTGGAACCCTAACTCTCCTTTCAACGGGGAGCCACTCGAAAGCATGGGCTGCATTTCTGTATTTTGCGTTCATGCTGAGCCTTGGAAAGGAGGAGCGGCTGGCCAGGCTCTGTCCGGTAGGGCGGCAAAGAGTTGGAATTGATTCCCTGGCAACAGTTGGTTGATTAAATCTGCAAACTGCTGCGCATGTGATCGAGCACACGTCCGTTCAGGTGATCACATTGATTTTCACTGGGAACGGAAGTCGACTTCCAGGCTGCAGGTGGGGAAGCCGATGGAGCTCCTTCTAGAAGGGCGTGTTGCTGGGTTGCTCCCAGGGTTCCAGTACGTGGATGGGGCCCAAGCGAAACCTCGTAACCCCATCTCTGCGGGCAGTGGATGGCTGCCGACAAGTTTTCACGGTCATACACTCATCAGAATTTCAGGACCTTCAAATAAAGGGTCTACTTGCAATAGTGAACTCCCAGGGGATCCGCTGGGCCAGTTAAACTCAGTTTCTGGAGAGGTCCGTGCAGGAAATCATGGTGACGGGGGATCCCAAAAGGGCATGGGGGGCGCAGGGCAACTTGATAGGTTTTCTAGAAGGACCCAGGACACTGACAGTCTTGTTAGGAAGAAGTTTTAAGCAAATGGAAAACTGCATTGGTGAAGAAAAGGCCCGGAGAGTTGTGCCGAAGAATCCCCCCAGCCCCTATGACAGCCCACTTGCTTGTTCTTTGAGGGTCACAAAGGTCGTAGGAGAATTTTCATTGGGAAACCTTACCCCATCCATGCTACAGCCCGAATCTTGTCCCTTCAGAGTTCTAGTTGTCCCCACAAGTCAAGTGACGTGGCCTACACTGTAGAGTAAGGAGCCCTGGTGGTGTGGTTACACATTGGGCTGCTAACTGCAAGGGTAGCTGTTTAAAACCACCAGCTGCTCTGGGAGAGAAAGATGGGGCTTTCTACTGTGGAGTTGTCAGGTTGCTGTGAGTGGAACAGGAAGTTGGTTTTTGGGGAATGATGGCATTTATGGAGGCTAGGGGGTTCATGCCAGGGCTGCCTGTCTGGCTGCCCTGTCAGCAGCTTGGTGGCCCATGGCAACTTCTGATGCCCTCAGCAGTACACTGCTGCTACTTCATGGGTTTGGGGGCAACTAAGAGTGCCCTGATTTGACCCCCATACTTAATGGGGCTTCCCCGAGTGGTGAGCTAGCCTCTTTCCTGCCAGATTGAAGGGTGTGCATGGAGAAACGAAAACCCATATTTTGAATCTGTGTACAGCACTCATTTCTTTCCCTCTGCCTGTTCGAGGCCCCGTGACAAAGCGATGAGTTTAGCCAGCTGGGCTGAAGTGCCGCAGGACAGGGGACTGGCTTCAATGACTTGGTTGACGGAAACGGTGGCATTACCGACACTGCGCACTTCATTGCCCACAAAGCTGCTGCCATCAGAGAACCAGGCACAGCCTGCTACAGCAAGTAGTTGGTCTTTAAGGTCAGGCCAAGACAGGTTATTAGTAGGCAGTAGCTCAAAGCAGGAATGGAGGGGCTCAGAGTCCTCCCCAGGGTCAGGGAGTAACGTAGCTGGATTGAGGGTGCTACAAGTCTGGAAGGTGACATCAGGGTTCTCTAAGAAGCAGTTGGTACTTCGTTAGGTGGCTGTCAGAAAGCCAGTTATAGCCTTTAGCTTGTAGCACTTCAGAGATCCTATGGTCAGTCAGGACCTCTAAAGTTCCTCCTATGGTGATCTGAACTACTTCTTGGAGTAACAGGGCCACGGCAGCTATTGCACATTGGCAAGGTGGCCAGCTGGATGAGGTCAGAGCTGACCTCTTTGATAAATATGCCACCGACTGAGGCTGGGGTCTAGCTTCTGGATTAGCACTCCCAAAACCACCCCCTTTCTCTCATGAGCATTTGGGAAAGGCCTTTAAGTATGGTCTGGGAGGCCCAGTGCTGGACCCTAGAGCAGAAGAGCCTTAGGTTGGTCCACTACATCCATGTGCTCCATGCCCCCCCAGGGGTGGTTCTAAGTCACTTTTCCCTTCCAGGCCTCATAGGGGTTTTGCTAGGAGTCTATAGTTGGGAATCCAGGTTCAACAAAACCCAGTAAGGCTTAGAAATGCTTGTCGCTGTCTCTGAGCTTCTGGCTCAGGCAGCTCCACAATTGCCCTTACTTATTCTAAGGAGAGCCCTTTCTTTCCTTTTGATAAGACTAGTTCTAGGTATGTTGCCTCTTGTTGCACTAGCTGGGCCTTGGCCCTAGAGACTCTGTGGCTGATCTCTGTCCAGAAGCTTAGAACTTGTACTGTATGAGAGAGAGAGACTGTTCGCAAGTGGCGCAGCAGATGAGGTCATCTATGTATTGTAGGACTGTGCCCCCTCTAGAGTAAGACCAGTTAGGACCTGGCGTAGGGCTTGTCCAAACATGGGGGCTCTCTCGGAAGCCCTGCGGCAATACAATTCAGTGAAGTTGGTGCAGCTGCCCCTGTTCTAATTTCCACTCAAAAAGGACCTGGTTCTGTGGGTCCAGCGGGATGTAGGAAAAGGCATCCTTGAAATCCAGGATGCTGTACCACTGTGTGGAGCTGGGAACTTCCCCTAGGAGTGTGTAGGGTTAGGTACCACCAGGTGCAGTGTAATCACTGCTTCATTTATTATCCTAAGGCCTTGAATCAGCTGGTAACACCCATCTTTCTTTTTGACTGGCGTTATTGGGGTGTCACGGGGAATTGACAGCAACCAAAAGTTGATGCTGGAGGAATTTATTAATGAGGGATTGTAATCCTTTGGTGACTTCTGGTTTCAAAGGGTACTGCTGCTGGCAGGGAAGCTGGGTGGGGTCTTTTAGGAAAATCTTTACAGGGGTTGCATGTTTAGCTCTGCCTGGGACTCCTGTGTCCCAGACATCACAGTTTCTGGCACTCTCCCACTGTTCCTGTGGGGGGCTTAGCAGCTCCTCTGAGGCAAGGAACATATGGAAGGCTATTGTGGGACTCGGATGAGGCTAGACAATACAGCCGGACATTCAGGGACTACTACGAAGCTATGAGAGCTGTAGAAGTTGTCCCAGAGGCACCTTAAGGGTTCCCTAAAGCGTTTGACTGCAGGCTTTCCTGCCAATCCCTTGGTGGTGCCAGAGGTCTGGGGAACGAGGTAAGGACAGAGTAGGCAGCCCCACATCTGTGCTCACCCGAAGCTCCAGACCAGGAACAGCAACCTCCTGCTTCTGCGCCATCAGGCCGTTTCCACCCTCAGCAGCTGCACACTTGCCGGGGCGCCTCCCCTCCTGGGCATCTCCCAGAGGACAGAGTGCTGCCCAATGGCGTGTGTTTGCAGTGGCAGCCTGGCCCTCGTGGAGGCTTATTCTGGTTAGGCCAATCCCCTGTCCAGTGACCTGGGTGATGGACCACATGACCCTTGGTGCCTTGTTCAGGGGTCTTGGAAACCTGGGAGGCAGTGGATGGGCATGGGTTAGCAATGGCGGCCAGTACCTGCGCATGCCTGATGTTCGAGCCTGAGCCTGGACTTCCCGCTCTTTGTCCCTGTCGTCAAAGGCTGCACTGTCCCTAGTGACCGTCTCTTCTAGGGTCACTCCTTCAGGCTCCTGCACTAACTTCTGGAGCTTCTTCCGAATGGCTGGTGTGGCCTGTGAGAGAAGTTTGTCTCTGAGTAGGACTTGCCCTTGATTTGAGTCTAAGTGTGACTCCTCAGGACTTCTCTCAGCCACACTTAGGCCCTTGGTTAATAGCTGTCATTTTAGTGTAGTTAGTGACCTCTGCCGCCCTGACTTTAGTCCATTTTTGATACACACCAGAAAATGTACCCACGCCCACCTGTCATTGGGATCATTATAATCCCAGGTGGGCTCAGTGGGAGGCCCAGCTGTTTCTCCTATTGGATACTTATCATCGTTCATTACAGGTACAGTAAACCTTGTGCAAACTTCCTAGCTCCCTTCAGCACCCACTCTTTCTTGCAGTCTGTTATAGTCTGTACCAGAATGATCATTACATCCTTCCAAGCCAAGTCATAGGCTAGGGTGAGGTGCTGGGAGCTCTCTGTGTGCTGTTCTGGACTGTCTGCATAGCTGCCTAGGGTGAAAGACTTGTGAATTGCCTGGGGACCAAATTCCCCCGATGCCTCTATTAAGGATAAGACTTTGATGGGGCCACCTTTCTCCTCAGCTTCTACAGGCTCAGGGGCTGAGGGTGGTGTGACTGGGCTGGGTGTTCAGGGTCTTTCAGCTTCAGGGCCCCTTAGAGGATCCTTGGTACATTTGTCCTCTGCAGAGGACAAATGCTTTAACATAGGGAACTCCCCACTTCTCCATCCCATTGTGGAAACTTTCTAGCGGAATCGGGGAAGTGCACCATTCCTCAGCCACAATTCCCCATCCCCTAGAACGTACTGAGACAGATATTGATATATTGCAGACAGATAATCGTTTCTGTCTCTCTAGTGTCTGTGGGTCAAATCGATGCCAATCAGGATACAGTGTAACGCCGCTCCCCTGGGAACAGATCCTCCATTGCCCGTGTTGGAAACAAAACAGGAGATTAGAGAGCCCTGTGCCCTGGAGTCAGATGTCCCAACGCACATAGCACTTAAGTGCCCTGACACTTGAGCCCCAACAGATGCCTCTATTTGGGTGGGGGTCAGGGAACCCCGTGTCTACCAACAAACTGGGCCCCTACCATTTTCTAGACAGCATGCGAGGGATTTGTGAGTTACCAGCTCAGGTGGCCTTACAGAGCTGATGTCTGTGGGTCAGATCTGGACCATAGGTCGGGTTACAGTGCACAAAGATCCCCTGGGAGTGGACCCTGGAATGCCATGTAGAAAACAAGCAATGAGAAGTTGGAGGGGCTGGTGCCCCAGGGTCATAACTGAGGTCCCAGGGCGCCATGAAACTTGAGCCCTAAGCAGGCACCCATGTTTGAGGGAGGCCCCCCCCCTCGACCATTTTATAGACAGCAAGCAAGACGGCCACTGGCTCAGGTGACCTCACAGGGCTGACATGGAATTATTGGCATGAATAATCCACCTAGAATCCACAAGCAGGACCACTGCTTTGAGTGACCTTAATTGCCTTCAAAGGCGACCACTGGCTTATGAGCAGGCCATTCTAGGGAAATTGGGGTCCTTGATTGGACACATAACTGTCAATGGGGAACTGGACCAGGAATGTAAATGGCCCAGAGGCCAAGGGCAGGGAGGCAGTTGTGCTCAAAAGCCTTTCAAAACAGCAGGGTTAGCAGTTACTTCAGTGGCTTTGCTTCCAGGTGCCTTTTCAAAAACTTGGCAAAAGCGGAAGCCAACCAGTTAGAAGAAGCAAAACAACACCCGCAGAGATCCAAACCCAAACAGGACCAAGCTACTTACTTGTGAACAGGTGAAAACAATTGGGCATACCAGGGAAAGCCCAGACCGAAAATTCTGGGAACTTGGTGGGGTCAAAACTGTGAGAACTGGGCGGGGCTAGCCACTAAGTCCCCACTCGTCCCACTTGGTTGGAGCACTGGGTGCCATCTTGGTGAGGTCAGTAGAGGACACATGCTCAGTTGCCCTACAGCAAAATAGCAGACACTGGGGGCACCGTCTTGGTGAGGTCAGCTGAGTCATGTGTTCGACTACCCTGCAAGAAAGGGCTGTCTGGGGTCCGAGGGAAGAAAGCAGATGAACCAGCATCTTGCAGAGAGCCCAACAGATTTATGTGAGCAGCAGTTGGCTGGCAGCAACACGGAGCAAAACACCGGAAAGCAAAGGAACTTTTGGCACCAGGCTCATTAGTAGCAGTCTTCTGACAGCATCACAGGAAGGGAGGCTGAGGGAAACCTGGAGGCAAGGATGGCACAGGAGAGCAAAAAGGCAGACATGGGGTGGGGGGAGAGTAAGGGGCTCCAGGGTGAAGTTCTCCCAGCAACTCCAAAGGGGGCAGGGTTGAATGGTCCCCGAGACATCTACAGCTGTGTCTGGGTGTGGGGGGGGGGGTCCCATCTCCCTCCTACAGAGTCCAGCACCCTCAAATTGCATGCCTTGCCGTTTACATCCGACACTTGGAAAGTTCGACTCACCTGCCACAGCTGCTCAGTCTCTCAAGGGTGGTGAGGTGAAGTCTGAGAAGTGCACTGACAGTCAGGTGGAGATGTGTGCCCGCTCCAGCGACAAATGTCCCGAGCTGGGCTTACCTTAGAGAAGTGGTTCTCAACCACTAATGCTGCGACCCTGTCATACAGTTCCTCATGTTGTGGTGACCCCCCCCCCAACCATAAAATTATTGTCCTTGCTACTTCATCACTGTAATTTTACTACTGTTACAAATCAGGCAATTCGTAAAGGGTTGTTGTCATAAAGGGTCGTTTGACCCCACAGGTTGAGAGCAGCTGCCTTAGAGGATGGTGTCCAACGTTTTTATCTGAGTCACAGCACCACAATGTTAGGTATTTGCGTGGGTAATCCCTCGTCGGTTCTTGGCTTCGCACAAGTGGGTTTTTGTGAAGTGCCGGACAAGTTTCAGGCTTTACAGTCTCAAAGGGGATCGTGGAAAAGAGTACTCAAGGGTGTGGAACTTGGCGGGGAAGGAGATCCCAGGTGGCCAGAAGTCCAAGAATCCTAGAGTCTAAGAGCATGTGGCAAGAGAGTCCCAGAGCATGGTCCCTGCCTTTATTGTAGCCTACCCCCTGGCCGGGGGTCGGCATGGTTGAAGGCATTAGTTGACCCCATTGGCTGGGTTGAGCCCACCTGGGTGATGTCATGAGCCTGGATCTCATTTGGACCACCCAGGTGTGCCTCCCACCTGGCTGGGGACTTGAATTGGAGCATGCTCAGTTTGGGGTCTTCATAGGTGTTTCATGGTCACCTGACTTCCCAACTTCCTTTAGGGGGCCTTTGCAGGCATGGAAGGGACAATCCCCTGTCTCTAAACCATCTACCTAACAGAGGGTGTGTTGAGCAACAATAGCTTTACATGTTGATATTTTTGTTTAACACAGGTTTCTACTAGCGATTCATGTATTTTTTTTTAACTTACCACCTTACTTAATAGCTCCCCCACCACTTCGGTGAATGCTTATCAGTTTTTAAATTAACTCCCCAACCAGCTGCTATCCGGTCCCTTCCGACCCATGGCAACAGCACGTGTTCAAAGCCGGGCTGAGCAGCCCCAAATGGTTTTCAGTGCCTGTGACCTTTCTGATGGAAGTCGCCTGAATTTTCTTCCGGGGCACCTCTGTGTGTGCTTTGACCCCAACCTTTGCATCGGTAGCTGAGTGCTTACTCACATAGGGCTTCCAGGGACTACAAGCCAATCAGTCTGGGCAGACCGAACTCCTTTTTCAGCACTCAGCTGCCACAGGTGGCTGACGGCTAGCAGGCAGGACAGCAGAGATCACAAACACATCCATCGCCACCAAAGGTGGTAGACAGCACAGCTCCTGCTGCCCACTGAGGGCGGCCTGGGCCGAGTTGTGTCCACCTCACAGGGTTGCCGTCAGGATTGAGTGCCGCACAGCATCGCGAGAAATCGGGCACAGCCAGGGTCACAGATGCCAGTGGCCCTGTCCACCCACAAGCCCTCGGCCCCAGGCAGCCAGAAGACAACCTCAGACCGGGCACCTTCTGTCTGGCCACCAAGCCTTTGCTCACACAGTGCCTGTTGCTGCCCTCCTGACCTTGGCATCTCTGGTCCCCTCGTGTCAGGGGGGGTCACAATGGAGAAGGCAAGGCCCAGTTTGTGTGTGTGTGTGTGGTGTTGGGGAGGGGCTTTGTGTTCCCATAGCTGCATCGGAGCATTCCTGGGTCTCTCGGTGACTGTCAATGGGGGTGGGTTTCTGAACCCTGACATCTGCTTGGATGGTGTGCTGGACACTGGAGGCCTCAGGTTGCTAAGGAGCAGCTGCTTCCAGGGGTGGCATCTCCAGACACCACCCCTCCATGGCCCTCATGGCAGGACCCCTGGGCAGCTGTAGGGTGGGTGCTACAACACCCCAAAGGGAGGCAGAGCAGCCCCCCAGCAAGGTTGGGGAGAAGAGGCAATCTTGTCGTGACAGCTGCCTCAGACGGCGCGGGGTCCTGAAGAAGTTGCAGTGTCTCTTGGGTCAGGGAGCCAAGGATTAGTGTGTGTGTGGCGGGGGGAGATGGTGCTTGTTTGTTTTGAGGAATGAATAAAGACGTGTGGAAAAGTCATTGTGGTGCATAGCTGTGCCTTGTCAGTTTGTCCTGAATGAGCCTCATCACCACTACTCATCTCCCCCTGCTGCCAAACCGCTTCCTCCCCCATCACAGCCTCTCTTGCTCCCCTCTGGGTCCTTAACTCCGACAGAGAAGTCCCTAGAGGGGGCCCAGCTGCATCCACTTCGCTGCTCAGTGTCTCCTTCCGTTCCCTGGTCTCCAGGCCTGAGGGAGAGGAGGCACTGCCTGTGACTGCCTTGATGTGGGAAGTTGGTTCACACACACACACACACACACACACACACAATGAGCATTTCAAACCCCACTCCTGATGGAGCCCCTCCCTTGCCCACTTATTCCCAGCACATCTATTGGTTTCTTGGTTACTCTTTGTTGCCCTGCACAATCGATTCTTCACGGGCATGCTTGTCACTTCTGGTTCCCAGCCGGCAGCCACCCACGCATCAGCCTTCCGTGTGGCACTGCTGGCAGCAGGGTTGGGGCCCGTGACCCCTGTGCCTCCGACTGCAATGAACAGAGCCCCCTATGGGAGGGGCTGGGCATGGGGAAGAAGGGAAAGTCAACCCTCCCACACACACCAGAGGTTGAGTAAGGAGCCTGGTGGCGCCGTGGGTTAAGTGTTAGACCACTAGCCTCCAAGCTTTGTGGTTCGAACCCACCAGCTGCCCCCTAAAAGATTCACAGCCTCAGAGACCCTAAGGGGGAGGTAGGTAGTCCTACTCTGTCCTATGGGGTCTCTATGAGAAGCAACCAGGGCAGCAGGGTGGTCAGGAGCTGGTACGATTTTCCCCATCCCCAGGGAGGAGGTTGGCCAGGTGGTTTACTTAAGCCAGTGGAATGTGCACATGCAGGACCTCAGCAGACACCTTCCGTGTTCTTCACTGTCCCGTGATTCGCGAGGACAACATGCCTCACGAGACAGGAAACCCATGAGGAGATAAGCTGTCCCCACACTGGAATGAGCCAGCCAATTTGCAGCTGGAAGCAGTGCCACCCAGTGGCCCAGAGAAAGGAAAATCGCTCGTTTGTTGCCTCTGTTTGGGAATGTTTTGTTACCTGGCATCGTGGCAACATTGGTTGACTAATCCATCTTTGTTATTTCACACCTGTGAGATAAGGGGCTTGCTGCCATAATACCTTCTCATCTGGCCTGAATGATGCCAGTGTTTGGACAATTAGGCTAGTACCTGGCAACTGATGGCAGCTAATTAGGATGACGATTATTTACTCGACTTATAGCCTCGGCAGCCTGCTTTGTCTGCATTAAAGGGGCCGTGTGTCCACCGAGCTTTGTAAAGACTTTCATTTGACTTACAAAGCCCTCTGAGGTGGAGGCTGTTCATGCCCTCGATTTGCAGGCATGGGACTGGCGACAAGAGGTAGGAGAAGTCTCATCCGCAGGGGCCATCTGGGACTCTGGAGTCTGTTGGACAGAGGTGGGGTCAAATGAGCCCTTTCCTGGCTTTCTGACCCGGGGCAGGTAACTGCACCACCTGTGCCTCAGTTTGTTAATCTTCAAAACGGGTGTGATAGGAGTAATAGCCACTTCATAAGAGCTAGAAGGCTGAAAACAACAAACAACACATGGAAGTGTGGCTGAGGGTCCCACTAAACCCCCTGCTGTCAACTCAGCTGCAGCCCAGTCCTGACTCACAGGGACCTGACATATGGTGTCTGAGGCTGGAAACCCCTACCGGAAGCAGTCAGCCTCATCGTTCTCCGGAGGACCGGGTGGGTTTGAAGGGCTGACCTCAGGCACAGTGCCTGACCCGCAGAGCCACCTGAGTTAGCAGGGAACAAGGGGGTCTTGCTGAACAAGAAGCAGGGCCTTCTCTGTCTTCCTCACCACGAGGGTGTCCGGGCTGAGAAGCCTAATCTGATACTGTCTCAGAGTCACACAGTTTCCAGCGTTCCTGGGTTAACCCTTTAATTCACAGGCACAGAGAGAACAGTAGGCTCGGGGCAGATGGAGCCTCCAGCCACTGGTTCATCCCTTCTTCACTCAGCCCGGCCAGGCCGATACCGGGCTGGGAGGCAGTCGGCTCGGCGCAGGAAGTAGAGGTAGGAGGCGGAGGGCACCTCGGACCCAGCCTTGGTGAAGCAGGCACTCTCGGTAGCGCAGCCCCGAGTGGCAAATCTGGTGTTGATGATGCCTGGAGACGAGAATTCAGACTGGAGGGAGGGGCCCCCCACCCGGTACTCCTGCCCCCACCCCTGACTACACACCCACCCACCCTCCTTCCTTCGCGCCTTTATTACCCAGGCATCTGGGCTCCCAGCAACCTCCTTTCTCACTTCTCTGGAGGCCCCTCCTCCCCTGGAACCCACACCTGGGAACCCACACGTTCCCAGCCCCCACTCCTCCTCCCAGGTGCTTCTCACCAGCCTGCACGTTGCCCGCGAAGTAGATGCAGTGCGTCTCCTGCCCGACGCAGCGGGCCGCCTCGGTGCCAGGGCAAGTCTCCTGGAAGGGCGCGATGCAGGCCGGGCACTGGAAGCCGTTCTCTGTGCGATTGTTGTGGGGAGCTGGGGGCGAGGGGTGAGGAGTGGGTGCACAGGGATGCTTAGGCCCTCCCCTGGCCTCCTAGCTACCCTGGGCGACAGGGGGACACCCAGCCCCGTATTTAACACAAGAAACGTAAAAAAAAAGAAACGCGACAGCAAGGTGTGCTCGGTAGGTGTCAGTGCAGGGCAGTGGTGGTGGGATCCTGGGACGGGCAGAGCTCAGCCTACACCTACCTGGCAAGTCGCCCTGGTTACAGCGGTCGCTCTGGCAGCAGTGAGCGTTGGACACCATGTAGTCCTTGGGGCCCATGGTGGTGGACACGAAGCCGGAGTAGCAGTCTTTGAACTTCATGCAGGCCTTGTAGGTATTCAGGGAATGGCGGCCCTCTGTGGGGTGGGGGGAGCGTGGGTGGACTAGAGCCAGCTGGGCAGCTCACTGACTACCCCTAGCCTCAGGGCTCAACCGGGGGTGGGGTGACTCTTGAGTCCCAAATCCCTCCCCCATCCTCTGCTTGCGGTGGTTTTTTCCAGCCCCTTAAGGCCAGGCCTCCTGGGCGGCCAGGTTTTGCAATGGTGTCTTGGGAAGGCCTCCTTACTCCATCGCCAACACCCAGGATCCTCGGCACCCTAGTCTCTTCCAGGGGCGCTCTCTCAGGCTGCCGAGGGCTATCCCCCATGGTTTTGTGAGGCGGTCTCTTCCAGTCTCCTCCCGGCCCGGGGGTGGTCCCTCATCCCACCTAGCACCCGTACCCCTTCTCTGTCTAGAAGAGTCTCTGAGATTGCCAGGCCTCCCTCCTTGTGTTACGTCTTGTTCTACCGTATGTCCCCTTCCAGCTCAATCCTATGGTTTTCTCTACCCCACCCCGCATGGGGGGGGTTCTTCTCCAGCACCCCTCAACACCCCAGTCGTACCTTCCACCTGCCCTTAGCCCCGCGTGTGCCCCCATCATCTGCGAAGAATGATCTTGCATCTTGAAGGACAGCCACTGTCCTGTACCCCCGTGGTCTCGTCGCCAGTATACAACGTCTCCCCCACCCAGCTTCTCTCAGGTCTGGGATGCTCTCTTCCATTTCAATGATGTCCTTCTTAACCGGCTAGTTTAGTCTTGCTTCGGGTCTCTCATTTCTACTTCTTTTAACGTTCTTGTCTCCCACTTCGTGGCTCTCTCTACCCCCCCACCCCTGACCTTGAAATGGTCTCT